GGACAGCTACGAAGTTCCAAAATCAGGACAGCCACGAAGGGTTAATTGAATTTTTTTCGTTAGAAAATTTGTTTGATGGAACATGCGCGCCTCATATCTATATGCAAGAAGACTTTGTATAGCATAAATTTTCTCATTTTGAAGAAACCTACAAGATATGTATGTGTCTATTAATTCTGTTTCTTCTGGCTGCAATATATAATACGAGGCGTTAGTGAAGTCAAATACAAACGTTCATTTTCTTATCGAACACAATCCCACACTACAATCAAGATCAAGTCGATAAACCTAAAAAAACATAGGGTAATCATTCTTATCCAGTATTGTTAACTATACTTACAGATCCACACATTATTCCGTGTTATCCTCCGCTATCGGTACCGTCTGTCGGTAAAGTTTCCCATCAAGTGCGTAATTCACCATTGCAATTTCTGTCTCTATTCTTACGCATCATTCAATCTAGTATCATCATTCATTGACAAAAGATATGCGATCTCGTTTTGCTATCCATGTGTCCACCCGATCACGAAAAAATAATATCCATCCGACGAACAATCAGTCTGCCAATCCTCAAGACATTTTGTCCCCGGTTATATTCTTAAAATCTTTGATTATTCATATTTTCTCTTTGTGTAAATAGCTGTCAACTATTTTGACTGCGCCTTATCATCAACGTAAACCCCAGGCTATTGTGATGGAAGGGAAGAGGAAGGGAAGAGGACGGAGGAAATATAAGAAAGATGAACCAGCTCTCCATCAGAATGTCCTTGAAACAGTCCAGGATAAATATGCCAAACAAATTGTCGATCAAAATGTTGTAAAGCAGTAAGCAATCAAACACCTACTGACAATGCCGCCAAAATTGATCAACATTCTCCGTCATCAATACAGGTGAGATACTAAAATGAGGAGCATGCTCATTATCAGATTCTATACGCCCAAGTATTTATTATTGAAGATCTGGAAATTGTTTAGTTTTCGTTCCATGAACAAGTTCTTATTTGAAGTATATACATCTTCATCGAATTTTAGAAGCGGTCGAATGTTCTAGTTTCATGCAAAATTCGATAGAGAGTGTTCAACAATTTTTTACCCCAATACGTATACTTGCGTGCAACTGCCATGTTTCACCACATACTTTGTTAGCTAAACTCTTAATGATGTACTCTTCAGACTGAGAGAATGACCGTTGTAATTAAAATGTAATATTTTTCTATAAGTAAACGATTTTTATGTATGCTTTCTACACTTCTTTCTCTTCACTCAATGGGCAACATAATTTGAATCCATACAACAGCTAATTTTAAGAAATAGAATTTATATCTAAAAAATTCAGTGAACAAGGATAGAATAACAATAGAACTAGAGAGCT